TCTTTATTTTCCTTCTTTCAGTTAGCTTTGGGTTTAATTTGTTTTTCTTTTTCTAGATACTTAAGGTGTAAAATTTGATTAAGATATTTGTTTTTTAATATAAGCATTTATAACCATAAATTCTTCCTTAGCCCTGTTTTCACCATGTGCCATAAGTTTTGTCACATTTTGTTTTCATTTTTCTCTAAGTATTTTCTAACAATTACCTATGTTTTCTTCTTTGGTCCACTGGTTATTTAAGAGTGTGCTGTTTGATTTCCACACTTTGTGAATTTTCCAATTTTCCTTTGGTTATTGTTTTCTAACTTCATTTGTGATCAGAAAAGATACTTCATCTTTTAAAAAAATCTATTGAAATTAACTTGTGGCATTAACTTATGGTCTATCCTGGAAAATGTCCCATACGCAATCCTGTTGTTGGGTAGTGTTCTCTTGTTGGGGAGAGTGTCCTGTATATATTAGGTATAATTCTCCAACCACTATTATAGAATTGTCTATTTCTCCCCTCAATTCTGTCAATTTTTGCTTCATATATTTTGTCTGTTATTAAGTGCCTAAGTGTTTATAACCATTGTATCATCTACATATTTTTTTTTTTATTTTTTAATAAATGAGGTATTGTTATGTTACTCAGGCTGGTCTCCTACTCCTGGCCTCAAGTGATCTTCCTGCCTCAGCCTCCTGAGTAGCTGGGATTACAGGTGCAATCTGTGCTCGGCCTGGGCTTTTCATTAGTATATAATGCCCTTCTTTGTCTCTTGTAACCTTTTTAGATTTAAAGTCCATTTTGTCTGATACTAACATAGCCATCCTAGCTCTCTTTTAGTTACTATTTGCATAGAATATCCTTTTCCATCCTTTCTATTTTAACCTGTTTATATCTTTGGATCTAAAGTGAGTCTCTTGAAGAGAACATACAGTTGGAATATGTTATATATTCATTCTGCCAATTTCTACCTTTCAATTAGAGGGCGTAATCTATTTACATTTAAAGTAATTATTGACCAAGAGGGACTTATCTGTCATTTGGCTATTTGTTTTCTACATGCCTTAGAGCTTTTTTGTCCCTCATTTCCTAAAGTACTCTCTTTTTTTGTTTGGTTGACTTTTATTTTGTAGTTAAACATTTAAATTCTTTTATTTCATTTTGTGTATGCTCTTTAGTGTTTTTTTTTTTTTTTTTTTTTGTAACCAGGGGAATTATATTTAACATCTTAAAGTGATTACACTCTAATTTGAATTTATGCCAGCTTCAAAAACATACAAAAACTCTGCTCCTTTAACACCTCCACCCCATCCCTTTCAGTTGTTGATAGCCCTAAATTACATCTTTGTACACTGTATCTCCAAATATATAAACTAATAATTACTTTAATGCATTAGTTTCTTAAATTACATAGAAAACAGGCCAGGCGCAGTGACTCATGCCTTTAATTCCAGCCAGCAGTTTGAGAGGCCAAGGTGGGCGGATCACCTGAGGTCAGGAGTTCGAGACCAGCCTGGCCAACGTGGCAAACCCTGTCTCTACTAAAAAAAATACAAAAATTAGCTGGGCATGGTGGCAGGCACCTGTAATCCCAGCTACGTGAGAGGCTGAGGCAGAAGAATTGCTTGAGCCTGGGAGGCAGAGGTTGCAGTGGGCCAAGATTTTGCCACTACACTCCAGCCTGGGGAATAGAGCGAGACTGTCTCAAAAAAAAAAAAAAAAAAAATTACATAGAAAACAAAATGTGATGGTACAATAACATTAGCTTTTAGAATAATTTTAAAAATATAGTAGTCTCTTAAATCACGTAGAAAACAAAAAGTGGAGTTAAACACCATTGTTACAGTAACACTAGTTTTTACACTTGCCCACGTATTTACTTTTACTGAGATCTTTATTTCTTCACAGGCTTCAAATTATTGTCTAGTGTCCTTTCATTTCAACCTGAAGAGCTCCTTTAGCATTTCTTTCAGGGCAGGTCTATTAATGAACTCCCTTAGCTTTTGTTTATCTGGAAATGTCTTACTTTCTCTCTCACTTTTGAAGGACAGTTTGCCAGTCACAGAATTCTTGGTTGACAGTTTTGTTCCTTTAGTACTTTGAATATATTGGCCCACTGCCTTCTGGCCTCCAAAGTTTCTGATGAGACATTAGCTGATTATTGAAGATTCCTTGTATGTGATGAGTTGCTTCTCTCTTGCTGCTTTAAAGATTTTCTCTTTGATTTTAGGCAGTTTGATAATAATGTGTCTTGGCGTGGTTCTCTTTGAGTTCATCCTACTTGGACTTCACTAAACCTCCTAAATGTTTGTGTTCATGTTTTTCATCAAATTTGGGATGTTTTCAACCATTATTTCTTTAAATATTCTCTGCCAAAATGCATATGCTGGTCTGATTGATGGCGTTTCAAGGTCCTTTAGGCTCTGTTTTCTCTTCTTCAATCTCTGTTCTGTTTGTTCCTCAGTCATTTCCATTGCCTTATCTTCAAGTTCACTGATTCTTCTTCCTACTCAAATCTGTCTTCGAATCTCTCCATGGCCCCTGACCTATGAGGGTTTGACTTATGATTTTTCAACTTTATGATGAGTTTATCTGGACATAATCCCACTGTAAGTCAAAGAGCTCCTTATGATTTAGGAAGTTATGATTTCTACTGAGTATCACCTTTCCACCATCAAGTCAAAATATTTTAAGTTGAATCATCGTAAGTCAGAGACCATCTGCTGTGCCACCAAGCATTAAACATACTTTCTCAACTTAATATTTTCAACTTACCATGGGTTTATCAAGCTTCACTATAAATCAAGGAGCCTCTGTAGTGAGTTTCTCCTCTCCGTTAGTCCCCACTTTTCAATTTCAGAATTTCTTTCTAGCTTCTATTTAGGTTTTCTCTTTATTGTTATTTCCATTTTCTTCATACATTTTTTTTTTAAACTTTTTCCACATTTTCCTTTAGTTATCTGGGTATCTTTAAGACAGTGTTTTAAAGTTTTTGTCTCATAGATAGGCTATCAAGTATTTTTCAGAGACAATTTCTATCGGTTTACTTTTTTTCCTTTGAATGGGCCACCCTTCCCTGTTCTTTGTGTATGCTTTGTGATTCTTTGTTGAAACTGAGAGTGAATTCTTGCTCCACTTACAAAGTATTTTACTTTTCAGAAGTGTATTTGTATATAAAGATATTTTTAATTTTTTTGTCACAATATGCTATAAAAGCAATGTTTCCAGTAAAGTGGTAGGCGATTATAAGGATCCATTCTAGGAAGTCACTGAATCTGCTTAAGGTATGGGGTTCACCATGTGCTCACCAAATAGTCTTTTAGGGGTGATCTTAGGTATGGAACTGGTAATCTTTGAGATTCTTAACTTCATGTGTAATGCCATTCTAAAACACAAATGTCATCTGTCTACTAAAAAACAAATCAAAAACAAACTTCAATATCTCTGTATCCTCAACAGAAGGAAAAGTCTAAACTATTAAGAACGCTATACAATGTATTTCACAATGTGGTCCTAATCTAACCTACCTTTGTCTCCTTTTACTTTTACCATGAACCCTTACAATCTTGCCACACTAAATTATTTACCTGTTCTTGGAGCAAGAATCCTACTCCTCTGTGCTTCCATGCTTGTTTACCTGACGCTTCCTCAGCCAGGATTGTCCCTTCTGCCCCATTTTCATTTTCAGCTGCACTCCTGCTCATTTTTCAAGTTCTAGCTCAATTGTTTCCTTCTCTGAGAAATCTTTTCCAATGTTTCTAGGCAAAGTGACTTATTCCTTTCCTCAGGTTCCATAATGCTTTTTATTCAATTTTGTTACATATTTCCTCAGCAGTTAGCAGAGTACCCTGCACATAACATGTTCAATAAATGTGATGTCTTGAACAAGAAACACTGGCATCCAAAACCTAGGAGATAAGATATCCACATTTCTTAAATCCATACAGATATATTTAATAACAGGATTTAGCTAGTAGAAATATTTGAGTTCTTGATAAATCATTTGACTGGTAATTTTAATATACAATCTATTACAATTTAGAAGCATCTAAAGTTTAAGTTGCACTGAAGATTTCTCTATCACTTCCTCTTTAAAGTTTAGTTTCAGAATATCCTTTACTTTTGTACATATATCGTCTATTCTCATCTTTACTATCACAGGATTGGTGACCCTATCTCTTTTTTTTATCCACTCCAAGATTAGCGCTTCAATTCATTTAAACCTAATTAAATGGTACCTTTAATTTAATTACTCCCATGCTCTCTTTTTAGAAAGTAAACCAAAAAAAAAAAAAAAATTGATTAATTTTTCAAACTTCTAAAGCCAATAAGTGTCACACACACACAAAAAAGAATATGTATGGAATTTTAATATCTTTAGCAGGAAATTCTTATTTCCCTTAATCTTGGAAATCTATAAAACATTGTAATAATGTAATCTACATAATGTAATAATTGTAATCTACATCTTTAGAATCTGTAATACCATAAAAATGGATTTCCTAGTGTGCTTTGAAAAACATTAGCTGTAATAAATCATTTTTTAATGAAGCAGGGTCAATGAAAGAGTATCTGTTATATTTGGCATTCCACTGCAGTTAATGTCATTCAATATTAATGAAAGCCTAGTCACATTTCCTAATAAGAACTTTAAACCTTTATTTCACAGTGAAAAGTATAAAATTAAGGTCATATATTTTATTTTTTTAATAGAAAAAATTTAAGTAAACCTCAACATACAAAGACCTTTTAAAATATCTGATCATGAAAAAAGCAAATTATGCCCTTAGCCTCAGAGAAAAAAACAATATACTAAATGCTGGTTCTTTAGATAGGCAGACCACTGTCACTAAGCTTAACCCTTTATGAAAAGGTACATGTCATAGATTAGAGATTACTTTTAGAATCACTGAAGTCTTGCCAAATGTTCATTCTCCTATGAGCTAATGAGTCAGCCACTCTTCCAGTGACTATGCCAGAACAGTCTGTTGGAAACTAATTAAAGAGCAGATACCTTTATCAGAGTATGTGTGCTCTAATGCATGGAGATCAGGCAATAGGTGAATACAGTTTATGCAGCAGTAGGTGAAGAAATCAAGGATGACTATTTTTCCACATAGATCCTTGTAGACAGAAACAGGCTCTTCTGTGTTCAGCCACTCTAATCCTGAAATTTAAATAAAATAAATTACAATGATTAAAGGGAAAAGGAATTTACCTGAAACTTTCCATTAAAATGTGATCCTTTTTTTTTTTTTTAAGACTAATGTGAATAGTCAAACACTTTAAGAGAAAGTAGCACCATTTAAAGGCTGTGGCAGTTGCATGTTATTTACTGTTGTTTACTATGAACCATCATTGTCTATCAACAAAAGAAATAAAAGACCTATCTGTATGACTGTGACTAAACAGATTATTTGTGGTTTGGAAGAAGAGACCAAGAAGGCAAATTAATAGAGATTAAAAGCCCAAAAAGGGAAGAAAGAAAAGGAAGGGATGATGGTACGGGTCGGGAAGCAGGAGGAATAGAGGATGGGAAAGCTGGCTATTATAATGCCGTCCGCAAATAAAGCAAGAAAAAGCTACTAAATTCTTTCAGAAAGAGTGTAATAGTCTGTGAAAAGGAGTCAGGGCAACACATTTAGGTAAAAAAAAAAAAAAAAAAAAAGGAAGAAATATCAAATAGTAAATCAACCTAATTACATAAACAATTAGATACAAATGGGCTACCAAGAATAAAGGTCAAGCTTAAGAATAGTAAGACATAACTAAACATCAAAAAGGAGTGAAATGTGTGTAAGGATAAACATACAAAATGCCTAAGCCAGTTTCCTAAAGGAGAAGAAACTGAAATATTCTGGATTTGAATGAGACCGTAAATACAAAATAAAATACGTTAAATGTAAAGTTAAGCAAAATACACTAATTGTTGTTACAGATTTCACTGAAGTAACATTAATATTGATGAAAAACGTGTTCCCTTTCCTCCAAAAAAAGTAAACTGTGTACTATGAAGAAAGATTTTGTTAACTAATAATAAAGTACAGCATCTCTATTTAATCAATTTAAGAAAACAAAGTTTACTGCTTATAAATAACTCAATGCAGCTATTACAACTATTAATTATACCTTGAAGCAGGTATTTAGAATAGTAGCAACTGAAAGCCAAAGTTGAGAGGAATAAGTAAACAGTAACAACTAATGACTAACAATTAACTGTAGCTACTCAATCCTAACAAAATTCTAGAAAATAAAAAATCTGCAGATCAAACTAGTATTTGGGTCAATTAGTCCAAATTAATGAGGTTTCAGTATACAATGACCTCAATTATCCATTTTGCTAAAGTATTAATTATATACCAGATCAAGTGATCATACAAAACTTCACACTAGTTAATGTATATTTCATACCCTACTTGCAAAATATTTATGAATTTGTCTTTTACGACTTTTCTGTAAATAGTCAAGAGTGGCTTACATCTGGGGGTATAGAAAGAATTATTACATCTCAGTTACTGTGCTAGATACTTACCAGACTTAATAATAATGTATTTTACAGTAACAATAATTACAATGAATACAATAAAAAGGTGCTAACATTTAGTAAGCTGTCCTGTGAATTAAGAATTTTACATATATTACTTTCGAAAAAAATAATAATCCTGAAAGGTAAATAATAGTTCAATTTTGCAAGTGAGAAATATAAGCCTTGGAGGTCAAGTAACTGGCTCAAAATCACACAACAACAAAATGGAAATAACAAGGATCTAATTCCAGGTCTGTGTGAATCTATCCATTACACTGCACTGTCACCCACAAACACGTAAGTCTTCTAAGAAATAAAGCATATAGTTTTTTAGATAAAGTTATGTTTATGACTTCTTGATTATAGTTTACTGCTAAAGAAACTAAGAAAACAGTCATTTCTAGCATTCTGTCCTCAATAATCGGGTCCAGGAGAAAATCATACTATGTTAAACACAAACCCTGAATATTTTATTGTATGTTTTTTTACTTAAGAGTCACAGAAGTCAAATCTCATGGGAATAAAATACACTCCCTGTAAATACAAACAAGACTAGAAAATAAAAAACATTCCTCAAATCCCAGTTGATGGCCTGCTTGTTTATAACAGTGTACTTACTATATAACCATCTTCTGTACCAAAATTTTTTAAAATCATCTATTTGTATAGATGTAAACAATATTTTAAAATTTATTTGATTTGATAAGCTTTCATGTACGCAATTATTTTGTAAGAATTCCACAATATTTCAAATCCAGTATAAGATTGATAGTAGGAAAAATAAGCACTTCTCAAGGTGGGTAGTGCAAAAGGCTTGGAAAGACACCAAATACTCTGTTGTCAGAGGCTGGTTCCGGTATACCTCCCATGAGATAACTGAACTCTGCCACATCCGACCAATTAACTATACATGTGGTTTCAGTGTCACGCCAGGACACATGCCAGCACCACCAGGCAAAGCAATGCTACTCCCATCCAAAGAAGGTAAAATACGTTTTCATTTATCATGGCAAGATGTGCTTTACAAACATCCCTGCTGGGAATATCTATTTCTTCATGCTTCAAAAGCTCACATAGCCAGGATTTAAACCCTGGAAATAGGCTATAATTGATTCTAATTTTTAAGAGTATTAGTTTCACGACTTTGAACGGAGAAGCACAGCACAGCTAAGAAACCAGCAAATCTAGGGTCTGTATAATCCAACTGGGGCAGTTATCAGCTGTGAGGCCCTGGGCATGTTATTTAACCTATCTGTGCTTCCACTTCCTCAACTGTAAAAGAGAAATGATCCGAGCACCTCACTGGGCTGTAGAGGTGAATGAATAAGGTAATAGCCCCTCAAGTGTTTAGGACTGTGTGTGGCAAGCAGGGTGCAGTAGCTCAAGCCTGTACTCCCAGCACTTTGGGAAACGGAGGTGGGCGGGTCACTTGAGGTCAGGAGGTCGAGACCAGCCTGGCCAACATGGTAAAACGCCGTCTCTACTAAAAATACACACACACACACACACACACACACGCGCAAACTAGCCAGGCGTGGTGGCGCGGACCTGTAGTCCCAGCTACTCGAGAGGCTGAGGCAGAGGTTGCAGTGAGCCAAGATCACGCCACTGTACTCCAGACTGGGAGACGGAGCGAGGCACCGTATCCAAAAAAAAAAAAAAAAAAAGTGTGTTATACATGAAAAAGTGATCAATAAGTGTCAAGATGATGCCGAAAGATGACGAGACGACATTGGAGAACCACACTGAATGGACAGAATGGTGTGGACGTTGCAATCATTGCCACCAGGGACACTTAACATTCACGGAGTGTCTACTTGACTATCAGGCGCGGGCGAGACTCAAGATACACAGGCGAGTATGTGGATCCCCGTGCCAGGGAAACCCCCAGTCGGTGGCCGCCTGGGGACCCCTGGGAATTGCAGAGTACGCGAGCAGCGGCCCAAGTTAGGCGAAGGGCCACTCCCTGGGGCGCCAGCGACACATACCCGCTTAGCCCCCCGCTTCGGGGGAGGGCGCCGTCCCCGAGGAAGGGGAGGTGCCGGGAGGGGCCCCCACCCCGACGCCAGCCCCTCACCTTCCGGAAACTCGGGTACTGACAAGTCCTGCTCCCAGCCGTCCACCTTCTGCAGATACTGGTAGACCAGGCTGTCCTTCTCCTGCTGGGTAACGGCGTCAAGCAGGGCGTACTCTAGCGAGGTCTGCGCGGGGAGCAGGCCGGAGAGGCTGCGGCCACGGGATCCGGGCGCCGCCATGTTTCCGCCGGGCTCCCGAGGCGGCCGCCGGGCTCGCGGGAGAGTCTCGCTGGGAAAGACAAAACGTTCACTGTCCTGTGGTTTCCAAACGCCGCATTCACTTCACCCTCCACTAGCCCCACTCCACGCCAATGACACTTTTTTCTTTTTAAAGCATACGTCCAAGTGCCAAAAGTCCAAATCGGCGCAGTTCCCGGGCACGCAATTAAACTGCCGTCCCGACCCACCCCGCCCCTTCTCGGTCCCCACGCCGCAGCCGAGCCTGGACATTGAGAGCGCCAGATTCAACATGGAATGAGGCCTCAGGAACAGCGTCCCATAGGCGCAAAGGGAACCATCCCCCACCCTTCACATTGGGAATTAGTAGGCTTCCGAACAAAAATAAAATACAATAAATCCGTAGGACTTAAAAGAGCAACCTATTTTTTTAAAGTATTTTTAAAGTCTCTCTCTTTGACCAGCATCCGCCGATTCGACACGGCACTGACAGCGGGAAGTTGTTCCCGCCAAGACACTAAAGGTAAAGGGGGTAGGGATAACCTCGAGAGAGAAGGTTTTGTAAGCTGGGAGTGACTGGCGCGAATGGCATTCACTTACAAATACAGCGTTTTGTCATCTGGGAGTGCTGAAAGTGCGGGTGCGAACAGATTTTTAGGTGGGGGTGCGGAGGGGAGCGGATGCAGCTGGAGCGGCTCCCTTGGGGCGCCGAGTGGCAGGTGGGCGGCGGCGAGGGTCCTTGAGGGCAGACCTCAGAGTCTTCAAAAGGGGAGGAGTCTGAGGGCTTTTTTGGAGCTGGCTGTGCTTCCTGGAGAGGGTTAAGGCCCCGCTTCCTGGCCTTGCAGCCTCTAATGCCAGAAGATAAGGGAGAGGCTGGCGTGTGACCCCGTTTTGAGGTGGACAGAGGGCTGGCCACCTTCGGAACCATGGGTGCGATACGGAGTCAGACCTCAATACAAGCCCACTGTTTCACATATTTGAACTTTTTTCACATATCTGAAGTTTTCTTGTTCACTGTGCAGGGATTGTTCATTGCTGCCGGAGGAAGATCATGGACTGTCCCGGGAAACTGAAGTGGTTGAGTATCCACTAGTCGTGGATAATGGCAGTGACTTCGCAGTTTTTTGCGAATTACACATCTCTTTGATTATGTTGTGACTAGTTTTGTTGGTAAACTGAGATAGCCATTTAGTGTTTGGGATACCTGTTGATCCACTTGTCCAGGGAGTGTGGTTGGATTTATGAATTATTTGGACGGTTGTCCACTTGAGAGAACGACAGTAGCTTCATAACAATGTTACAAAGCTCATTCTAAGATTAAGCTGGCTGTTGAACCTGTATTTCCCATTAGTGCTTAATTTTCGAAGTATTATTCTTATTTTTATGAATCAAGTCCTGGAAAAGGACAAGATATTTGAACGAAATAGCATCCATAATGGAGAACTCCACAGTTGCTGCTCCTGTGATAGGTTTATCTTAGTTTTATTGTGGTACGTATGGAACAGCAGGTGTTGTCAGATACAAGGTTTGTAGCTTGCCGATATGTGCATTACCAACACTCCAGATTCCCATTGAGTTGGTGGGGGTTTTGTTACCTTTGTTTTCTCAGCAAAATAATTCTATAACTTCTTGTGACAAGAAATGGACTCTCAATTTACTTAAGATTAATACTTCTTGAATGATAAAATCATTTTGCCATGTTAGAAGACATTTCCGAAGAAGACATTTGGGAATACAAATCTAAAAGAAAACCAAAACGAGTTGATCCAGATAATGGCTCTAAAAATATTCCAAAATCTGTTGAAAAAGGAACAGATGGAAAACACCAGTCAAAACGGAATAGAAACAGAAAAAGAGCCACAGAAGCTAAAGAGGTGAAGGACCATGAAATGCCCCTTGAAAATGCAGATTGTCAGACTTCTGTAGCTTCTAGTCAGAACTCAAGTTGTGGAGATAGTATTCAGCACACCCAAGACAAGGAGACTACTCCAGGAAAGCTCTGTAGAACTCACAAAAGCCAACGCGTGTCCCCAAAGATACGTCCAGTTTATGATGGATACTGTCCAAATTGCCAGATGCCTTTTTCCTCATTGATAGGGCAGACACCTCGATGGCATGTTTTTGAATGTTTGGATTCTCCACCACGCTCTGAAACAGGTAAGACTGCAGAAAAGCTAGCAGTTTCTAAATCATCTAAAAAGTCTTCGTTAGGTCAGACATACCAATTCAGTGAAACAAGGAAGGCAAGCAGTAAACTAAAAGAGAGATGGGACACTGGGAGACACCCCCCATACTTGTCAACGGTATAATAGTAAAGAAAATGGCAGACTAGAAAACAGTTTAAATACGTTGCGTTATTTCATAAAAGTTCCTAAGTATCTGGATTATTTTCCATAAATGTTAATTGTATCCTTACTATGCTGGGTACTTTCACACTGTTTACTTACCCGACTTTCACAACCACCATATAAGGTAGGTAGTATTGGCATTTTATAGATGAAAGTTCTTAAAAGTCAAGTAACTTGCCCAGTTGGTTATTTTTATGGAACTCCTTAGAAAACTATAAATAGGCTGGGCACAGTGGCTCGTGCCAGTAATCCCAGTACTTTGGGAGGTCGAGGCAGGCGGATCACTTGAGCCTAGGAGTTCAAGACCAGCCTGTGCAACATGGTGAAACCCCGTCTTTACCAAAAAAAAAAAAAAAAAAAAAAAAAAAACCAGAAATTAGCCAGGTGTGGTGGGCTACTTGGAAGGCTGAGGTGGGAGGATCACCTGAGCCCAGGAGGTGGAGGCTATGGGGCGCTGTGATCATGCCACTGCACTCCAGCCTGGCGGGGGCGACAGAGTGAGACCTTGTCTGAAAAAAAAAAAAAAAGTATAGATATAGTATGGTTTCTAAATATGGTTATGTTTTAGTCATCATGCTAATGTATACAGGAAGAGGAACTGTGAGGGAGTCTTAGGTGATTAAGATTCTAACAATAAATGTGTCAAATGATAATAAAAGTATGCTTTTTTTAATCTTCTAAAATATATAATAAGTATTTAACGTAGAAAATCCTACTTGGAATATATATGGACAACGGGTTGTTGTGATTCTTTTTATATTTTAAAATCATTTATATTCCATATATAGATTGTTTCATCTGAAAAAGTTAAATTCGGTAAAATAAAAAAATACTCAATATGGCTTTCATGTTAGCTATGATTCAGAATAAATTTTATTGTTAACCTGTAGTTATTTTAAAGTACTGCATGAAGACACACACACAGAAAAACCTCTTCTTTAAATTTGGCATTAGCCTTTCCCATAAAAGGATAGCAAGTGAAAACCTCATAAATTTGCTAGTAATTTGCTTTCATGTAACTTGAAAATCAAGAATGGAAATTGGAGTCCGTGGTTGAAGACCTTAGGGTGAAATGTCTTATGGATGAAGCCACCTCAAAAAAATTTTCCTTCGGTTTTTCACTAAACTCCTGTGAATAGACTCTCAGATGGCTCTCTTGAATTAAATTACATTCTATAACAAATGCTTTTAAGAGGCATTTTTAAGTTAGGTTGTAAGCCATGACATTTTCTAATTTAATATAAGAAATATAACATCTTTTTTGAGGGGAGGGAGGTGTCATTTTTTGATAAACCTGGAAATTAACATATACAGGGATATGCCAAGATGGCTTATGGAAAGTTTCTCAATCATGGTAGTATGACAGGGAAGAGTTTCCAAATTAGTAAAGCCTTATAATTAACCAATTTCTCAAATTCTATTCTTAGAATAGAATCTAAAACTTGTTCAGCGTATCAACAATTATAACTACTCTTATTAAAATTGTTACTTTTTATTGTATACAACGTGAATGTTAAATAATGGAACCCAATTTATACTGCTAATGTTGTCAAAGCTTAGTATATTCTTTGATCCTGTAATTTTTTTTCTTTATTAAAATTTCAGAGTGTCCTGATGGTCTTCTGTGTACCTCAACCATTCCTTTTCATTACAAGAGATACACTCACTTCCTGCTAGCTCAAAGCAGGGCTGGTGATCATCCTTTTAGCAGCCCATCACCTGCATCAGGTAGCAGTTTCAGTGAGACCAAGTCAGGTGTTCTTTGTAGCCTTGAGGAAAGATGGTCTTCGTATCAGAGCCAAACCGATAACTCGGTTTCAAGTGATCCCTTACTGATGACACAGTATTTAAAAAAGTCTCCATCTCCAACCAAAGCCAGTGAAAAGATTTCTGCTAATATCCAAACGTCCCAACAAGCTCTACAATTTACAGAATTTGTTGAGAATGACAAACTGGTAGGAGTTGCTTTGCGTCTTGCAAACAACTCAGAACACATAAATTTACCATTGCCAGAAAATGACTTTAGCGACTGTGGAATCTCCTATTCTCCACTTCAAAGTGATGAAGACACTCATGATACCGATGAAAAACTGGATGATTCACAACAACAACTGTTTTTTACCGAAAGCTCTAAAGATGGCAGCCTCGAAGAAGATGATGACAGCTGTGCTTTTTTTAAAAAACGACATGGTCCCTTACTGAAGGACCAGGATGAGAGCTGCCGCGAAGTGAACAGCTTCTTAACTCAGGATAAGTATGATGAAGGAGTGTATAGATTCAATAGTCTAAATGATTTATCTCAACCTATTTCCCAAAATAATGAGAGTACTTTGCCTTATGATCTGGCATGTACTGGTGGTGATTTTGTGTTGTTTCCACCTGCATTGGCAGGAAAGCTTGCTGCTTCTGTTCATCAGGTAGCTAAAGCAAAACAAGATGAGCCAGAATTTCACTCAGCTCAATCAAATAAACAGAAACAGGTAATTGAAGAATCAGCTGTTTACAATCAGGTTTCTCTTCCGTTAGTTAAGAGTTCAATGTTGAAACCTTTTGAAAGTCAGGGAGAAGGGTATCTTTCTTCCCAACCAACCCAAAGTAAAATTAGAAAATTATCAAGTGAGGACTCGAAGGCTAAGAATAATACTAACTCAGCATGTTGCTGCAGAAAGGCATTAGATGGTGTGCCCGTTGGTAAAGCTACAATTTTAAATACAGAAAACTTTTCTAGTACACCTGCTCCTAAGTATTTGAATATATTGCCTTCTGGTCTTGAGTGTAATGCAAGACATCCTTCTACCAAGGTAATGAAGCAAATGGATATAGGTGTGTATTTTGGACTACCTCCCAAAAGAAAAGAAGAAAAATTGCTAGGGGAAAGTGCATTAGAAGGGATAAACTTAAATCCAGTTCCAAGTCCTAATAAAAAGAGGTCCTCGCAGTGCAAGAGGAAGGCAGAAAAATCTTTAAGTGATTTAGAATTTGATGCAAGTAATTTAAATGAGAGTCAGCTTTCTGTGGAACTTTCTAGTGAGAGGTCACAGCGTCAAAAAAAGAGACGTAAAAAGTCAAATTCACTGCAGGAAGGAGTGTATCAGAAGAGATCAGATCACCTTATTAATACTGAATCTGAAGCAGTCAATTTAAGTAAAGTCAAAGTGTTCACAAAATCAGCTCATGGTGGGCTGCAAAGGGGGAACAAGAAAATCCCAGAGTCATCTAATGTAGGAGGATCAAGAAAAAAGACATGTCCATTCTACAAGAAAATACCTGGTAAGTTGAAATATCAATACTCGATGTATCAACAAAGACAACATTTTTGAACTTTGTGTTTATTGCCTGTTGTGTGTGTGTGTGTGTGTGTGTGTGTGTATGAAACAATTTTTCGTATGTGTTTCCTTTGCTTTTGTGATACTTCATGAGCCTCTAACGTAGATTTGGTTTTTGCCTATTTTTTTTTTTTTGCTCCATTCAGTTCATCAAGTTTCTATTAAACATGTCCTCTATGTAAGTGACTATACTAGTTAGCTAGATATTACAGGCTATAGAAAGATTAGTAAGAGAGGAGTAGGGATTCAGCTTAATACAAAAGGAAGAAAGGCATCTCTGTAAATAACTATAATAAAAGGCAGCCTCTAAATGCTTGTGAGAAATGCAAAGTACTAAATAGTTTCAAAGATGGGAAATGTCACAGGTTTTACCTATCATAGTAAATGCCAAAAATTTAAAAACCGTATTAGAACTTAGTTTCTCTGCCCTTTCATATACTTGGTTGCTGCCAGCATATACTTGGTTGCTGAAAGATTTTTAAAGTGCTTTATTGATGTTCTAGATCTATAATTTGTTAATATAGCATTTATATATAGAATAGCATTTATATACTTCATAACACAAGTGGTGTTTTTAATAATTATTTTGATTAATTTTCTGTACTTTATTTTATTTATTTATTTAGAGACGGAGTCTCGCTCTGTCACCCCGGCTGGAGTGCAGTGGCGTGATCTCAGCTTACTGCAAGCTCCGCCTTCCGAGTTCACGCCATTCTCCTGCCTCAGCCTCCCAGGTAACTGGGATTACAGGCACCCACCACCATGCCCAGCTAATTTTTTTTTGTATTTTTAGTAGAGACAGGGTTTCACCATGCTAGTCAGGATGGTCTTGATCTCCTGACTTTGTGATCCACCTGCCTCGGCCTCCCAAAGTGCTGGGATTACGGGCGTGAGTCACCGAGCCCGGCCAATTTTCTATACTTTAAATGATCCTAAAACTGTGTGTTGATAAGCCTCAGTAGAATTGAGAAGTTATGCTTATTTATTTGCACATCACCAGTCAGTACACTTAATTATTTCTTGCATAAGCACATTTTACAACAGTATTTCTCAACCTCTTCTTCATCACTGCTCCTCTAAGGAACTTTTTTAGACATTTTTTTTCTTGTTTCCCACCCCTCTTCTCCAGTTTGACTGTGCAGCGAAATTCAAAGATGATATTGTTTGTGTCATATGTGAGATTATGTTGGCCCTCAAGCATTTTGGCTTCCTTAGATCAATACTGCCCTCATTGAAAATTCATGTTTTAGAAGAAAGTTAGCATTCTCCTTTTACTGTTTTGCAGAAGTCAAGTGCTAAGTATTATGAAAGTATTAGTTAAAACAAAGAAGTAATTGGTTTGTAGCCTAGAATTTTAAAAAATTCTTTGGTGCAGTTATTCACAAATAAAGGTCTCTATACTGAGATACTTGGTAGAAACTTTTAAGACATTCTCATATTTAGTGTTACCTTTTGCTAAATTTATGTGATATAAGTTTTTAAATATAGTTAAATTGGAAATAAGAGGTAAAGAGGATAAAGGGTTCATTCAGTATTTATCAAATTGGGTATCTTTGTTAGCTCTTGCTCAGCCTACTGTGTCGGTATTTTGATTGCAGGAACTGGCTTTACAGTTGATGCCTTTCAGTATGGCATGGTTGAAGGTTGCACAGCCTATTTTCTCACACATTTTCATTCTGATCATTATGCTGGATTGTCTAAACACTTCACATTTCCAGTTTATTGTAGTGAGGTAAGTTTTAGTATTCTAACTTTTGACTTTGTAGAATGCTGTGAATTTCTAAGCAATGTCGTTAAAAAAGAATAATTAAAACAGATCTTTCATTCTACTAGAAAAAAATATGAGAAAACACATTCCACATAAAAGTTCTAAACTTAAACGAGTTAACATCAAGTTTCAGTTTTTAGAAAACATATGTTTTGTTACATGGAAACAAAAGATAAACTATTTCACGAAGTACTAAAAACAAGAAGTTGCATTCAGTAAACATTCACTGAAAGCCTAAATGGATTCTAGGCAAAATACAGTCAGCCTGCTGTATCTGTGAGTGCCCTATCCATAGATTCAACCAACTGCAACCGAAAAGATTCAAAAATAAAAAATAATACAACAATGAAAAATAATGCAAATTTTAAAATATAGTATAACAACTATTTACATGGAATTTACATTGTATTTAGGTGTTATAATTAAAGATGATTTAAAGAGGGTATGCATAGGTTATATGCAAATACTGTGCTATTTTATGTAAGGGACTTGAGCATCCTGAGATTTTGGTGTCCTCAGGGAGTCCTGGAACCACTCCCCTGCAGATACTGAGGGACATGACTGTATCGAGCTTCAAGGAGCTTATAACCTCCAGAGGAAACATTCATAAATAATGCCACATTGGAATTGGTATTATAATAGAAAAATGAATGGAGTACCTAGGAGTAGGGAGAAGAGAGTGCTTTACCCTGTCCTGGGCTAAGGTTAGACACAGTTTTGTGGTAAAAGATACCTTGAACTAATTATTAAAAAGTGAACACTTTAATGCTCATTACCAAAGGCTTGAACTAGAATTTGATTTAATCCTCACAGCATTCTTGAAGCGTGCTTCAAGAATTCTTTTTATTAATGAAACACCTGAGGTTTGGAGAAGTTAAGTGACGTGCCCCAGGTCACAGAGATAGTAATGGCAGAGTCTGAACTTGTATGCAAATCTGTCTGATTCCAGGACCAGGCAGAGGAAAGAGCATTCTAGGTAGAGAATAAAGTTTATGTAAAGGCACAGGCACCTGAGAAATATGCCCATTCCAGGCACTTCAGATAATTCAAAATGGCTAGAACGCAAGGTAGGGAATAATAGGAGACAAATCCACAGGAATGGGCTGGAACCAGATCACTCAGGCTTTTGTATGTCATAGTGAGGATGGACTCTTCACAGATGAGGTGAAGTCAGTGACGATGTTCAAGCAGAGTAGTGGCACAGCCATTACAGGAAATTCTTCCTGGCGTTGTGGAGTGTTTACTTAAATATGAGCAGGAAAAGGGATGTTATTAAGATGCTATGGTTCTAAACTAGATACGAAATAAAATACTTATTTAGTGTTTTACTGCATCAGCAATAAGCACGTCCTGTTTTGCAGATAACTGGAAATTTGTTGAAGAACAAACTTCATGTGCAAGAACAATATATTCATCCATTGCCACTGGACACTGAATGTGTCGTGAATGGTGTCAAAGTTGTTTTGCTTGATGCCAATCAGTAAGTATTAAAGTCATCTTAATAGCACATTTTTTAAATGTTCAAAAGGACAACACATTGGCATGATTATTTAATAACTTTTTCCATTATAATTAATATGCTTGATATTTCTTAAAACTTGAGTAAGATGTTTCTCCTTTTGAAAAATAATGTGCCCAATTATAGAAGCAGAGATTGAAATTAAAGGGATCCTCTAAATGTTATCTAACCCATTTTTTAATCCAGTTTAAATTATTACACTTGACATCTGAGATTCCATCTTATTTTTTAGAATACCTTAACATATTGTTGCTGCTGTTCTTTGCAAGATAACATTTTGCCATTTTCTTTAGTATCATATATATATAAATTAACAGCTTGTACTCCATTCGGATACAAGAGGGTCAGTTTTATCTCCTCCTACCCCTCTTTAAGAAATCATTCAGGCTTTAGATATTAAAGATTTGGAAGATTTTTTTTTCTTGGAAATAGCCTCTATTTTTCCTTCTTTTTTCCTTTTAATATAAAGTACTATCAGCATTCATGTTGTCAAAACACATTCATGTTATCAACTCTGCCGCTTTCTACTTTCCATAGAATGTTAGCCCTCTGTACCATAGAGGTCATAGATGAAAAGAAAGAAGACTAAATACAGGTTTCCTAAAATCCAGGCCAAGCTATTACATTTGGTTACCTTTAAGGTTTTGTCTGCTAATTTTGCTGCTTTTTTTTTTTTTTAATTGCCAGTTTGAGTTCTGATTTTTTTTTTTTTTTTTTTTGAGACGGAGTTTTGCTCTTTTTGCCTAGGTTGGAGTACAATGGCACAGTCTCAGCTTGCTGCAACCTCTGCCTCCCAGGTTCAAGCGATTCTCCTGCCTCAGCCTCCCAAGTAGCTGGGATTACAGGCGCGCACCACCACACCCAGCTAATTTTTGTATTTTTAGTAGAGACGGGGTTTTGCTGTGTTGGCCAGGCTGGTTTCGAACTCCTAACCTTGGGTGATCCGCCCACTTCGGCCTCCCAAAATGCTGGGATTACAGGCATGAACCACCATGGGCGGCCAAGTTCTGATTTTTAAAGTCAACTTTATGGGTTTTTCACCATAGATCACAAAGTTAGCATCAAGCTAGTATCACATAGTTCGATGTCTCAGGTGTACAAAACAGTCTTACCAGGCATAATATTCCTAGGGTTCAGAGTTCATTTCCCAGGAGCCAGCCAAGGGCCAATCCTGAAGACATGCTTTTCTTGGGAATGTGTGGAGGTTGAGCAACCTGGGTCTGCCTTTCCTGCACATCAGTTCTTTTTATGATGTAAATTTCCTTGAGTTGAAGTGCCGCATTTCCTCTGTAGTGCAATGCTATGTCATTGTGGTCAGCTAATAAAGTGTGCTCACTTGGTGATAATTGAAATAGATACTGTTCCTTTAGGTGCTTGCCTGTGTTAAGAACACTCCTTTGAAATTTGTGTTCAGCTGTCCAGGTGCTGTCATGATCCTCTTTTATCTTCCTAATGGTACTGTCATATTACACACGGGAGACTTCAGAGCAGATCCCAGCATGGAACATTCTCTTCTTGCGGACCAGAAAGTCCATATGCTGTACTTAGATACCACGTAAGAGAGGCTTTTTTTGTGTGCTTCCTTTTCCCACTTACAGCCTTTGCTCTCTGTATTATGGTTATCAAAATGACGGCTTATTGCCAATTATTATTTTAAGGCTCTTTTATCAGAGGGATGCTGTTTGAAAAATACATATGTACTTGGTTAAGGGCAAATTTGAGATTGCATGTGTTAACTGACTACAGCTCATTTTTTTTTTTGCGATTTATTTTTGAAAACATGTTATATGAGAATCCTGTTAAACAAGGAAGAAAAACTTAGGAGCAAACTTTAGGAAGACACCCTTTTAAGAGTAACTGTGTAGCTACTAATTGTGAAGAGAATACAGAGGCCAAAATGTGATTCTGTTTTTGGGTATCCAAAGTTACTGTTGTTCTTTTCTTAAAAGATGATTTATAAGTGACAGTTTTGAATTCCTGAGTACTATAAATATAATGGCATAAGCCATTACATTTTAACTGTGTATGTATTTCTCCCTAGCTTTATTAAGTAAATAAAAATTGTATATATTTCTGGTATATGATATGATTTTATATATTAAAATAACTCATCCACTTGTTAGAAATTATCTTAATCATTTCAACCTGTTTCAAGGAGAAGTACGTTTGGATGCGATATTTTAGTAAAAGACTGTCTTTCCGCATCCAGTTTTCTCACATTGTAACTGATTTTTCCACTCTTCTATATGAGTTTTAAGCACTGGATAAATTAGGAAAATAAGTTTTTTAAAAAAAAAAACAAACCTTTTTTGTTACCTAGTTCTATTCTGATATGATTCTGAATTTCCTCATGGGTTTTTAATGAGAAAGTTTTTCTTCCTCTTCTTTAATGGTTGACTAGCAAAAACAATTCCAAAAACTGGGAAAAATGTTTGTTTTTTGTGGCTTATTACATTTTTAGTGAAAAAGTGCTTACTTTTCATCTCAAATATAGATAGGTAGATAGTAGCTTAGAGTTAATTTATCACTGGGTTATACTGTATGGAGATAGACCCAACTGGATCTGTTTTATTTGTGTGTGTGTGTGTGTGTGTGTGTGTACACGTATATGTATATATACACATAGTATATATATTCTGTCTGTAAAGAATGATATTAATATCAACCGTGTCAATATTAACTGATTTAAAACTGTTTCACTAAATTCATGTTTAGTTTCATTACTTTAATCATTTTTTGTTAAGTCAATCTTTAGTCCAGATATAATCCTTATCAATATGATTTTTTGATAGTGTTTGAGGTTAAATAAAAGATACTGAGTTTTATCATTTATAACTAAAATAGCTGGCTTGCTAGAAATATTCTTGGGGAAAAAAGTCTTCAAAAAGACAATTTTTTGAGAGTGGTAAAAGAAATATAATGAAAAAGAAAACTTACAATTTGATCATAAGTTAGTAGTAACTGATAAATAATTCTAACTACAGGCAGTGAGATAACTTGTGGTGTTAATATATTATACTGCTGTTGTATGTAAGTTACTAACGCTTGTTTTCTAAAATAGCATCCAGGTTAAGGTGATGGCTTTTTTATTGTTCTTTTAGTAAGTACCATGTTTCCATGTTACAGATATTGTAGCCCAGAATACACCTTTCCATCTCAGCAAGAGGTTATCCAGTTTGCCATCAACACTGCCTTTGAGGCTCTAACTCTAAACCCACATGCTCTTGTTGTCTGTGGCACTTACTCTATTGGAAAAGAGAAAGTCTTCCTAGGTAAGTGATAGGTGTATCTAATTTACATTAATATATTATAAAGATCAGATTCTTTTTGCATAAAACCCTTTAAGTTTCTACTCTTGCATTTGATAATTATTTCCTGTAATGATTCAATATTACCTTTGAAGTTGAAGGAAAATTTGATAGTTTGAAACATTTAATCTTTGAAAGGTTTGACTTTAGGGAAACATTTGATAAGTGTGTTTAATTTAGGCTTTCTAGATATAAGAAATTTATAGAGCAACTGCCCATGCTACATTATTATTTAGTAAACTTTGAAAGATGATTAATGCATAGTTGTATTGCTACATTCTTTGAGGATAATAATTATGTTAGCAATCAGTTTTAATTTTTGTTCCTAAATGATTTCTGGATGTATAACTTAGTTTGTCCCGGTAGTATTGTACTAATTTGCAAAATACTTTCTATTTCATCTTAAGTATGGCCACATTATATCAAACATTAAAGATGATAAAGCCGGGACTTTTAACTTCTTCAAATTTAGTTCTTTCCCTTCCTCTATCCACTTTCTATACACTTTTGCAGTTTTTAAATAGTAAATAGTAAGCCTTTAAAACTAAATTATTTGGTTTTCTCACAATTTATTCCACACAGTAAACTAACAAAATGATTCTGTCTTTTTGAGATATCATGGTAAAAATGTGAATGTTTTGAATTTCCTTTTATTTGGTAAATTCTTACCTTAAAATTTGCTTAAGCTGTAACTATTTTTTTCACAAGCTGTAAGTTTACTATTTTTAACCTTTTCTTTTGCCCATAGCCATTGCTGATGTTTTAGGTTCAAAAGTGGGCATGTCCCAGGAAAAATATAAAACTCTGCGGTGCCTCAATATACCAGAAATTAATTCACTCATCACTACCGACATGTGCAGTTCATTGGTTCACCTTCTCCCAATGATGCAAATTAATTTTAAGGTAAGCATTCAAGAGATATGTCTTTTAGGGTGAACTGAAAAAGGTAATCTTATGATTTTAAACTACATTTAACTTACAGGAATTCAATTATAATAGAGACACCCATATTAAAATTTGCCCTAGACGATCTTTTAAGAGGAATTTTAAATGTTCATAGTTTTTCTAGATGTGCAACTCTGTAGAGTAATTCATATGCCCACCAGAAGTTTAGGAACTAGAGAACTAACATATAGAAGGAACAAAAATGGAAAGGTATGCAGCTATCTGGTCATTCAAACCTTCAATTTTTAAGATCATTTTCCAGTTCTTTCTGGGTGAGTGGGGAAATGAGTGGAGAATCTAAGAGGTTCTTTCTTTACTTCAGGTCTATTCTATTCTGTATTAATATTGAGCCTTTCTAGATTGATAAATATTGAAAATTTACTTGTTATGACAATTAAATGAAATAGTGGAAGTGTATCCTAAGAGGAAGTTTGAACATTAGTTCTAAAGTGTAAGTTAAGACATATGGTATGACCTTGCTGGGATTTGGGGGCTTATTTGTGAGATTTATTCATATACTAACTAAAGTTTATTCCATATACTAACATTTTGACACCTGGCAATTGAATACATCAAACCTGTATATTAAAACAAATTCAGAACATAATGCATGAAACAATGTATTTTCACATTTGTTATTGTGTTTATGAAATAAAAAGAATGAATGAAAGGTGAGGCAATGGAGACAGGAAGACTAGAGCATGGCGTGAAGAGGGGCTGGATACTTTGATGGCCAAAGGGAGGAGGGTTGCTTGTTTGTTGGCCATCAGAGATGAGGATTTTTATGTGTGAGGGACAGAGAGAATCTAAGATAAGAGAATAATTGATGAAGTAAGGTTTCTGAGCAACACCTGAAAAGTAGGTAATGAGGTGCATCCACTTTGAACAGGAAGAGGACCACCTCTTCCTCTCTGACAGTTCTCTCACAGCCTACCACTCTACAGACTGTGCGTTCTGATGCATATGGCCTTCTTGTAGAGAGCATATATTTACAAATCCCAACTTAAACAAGATTTAGATTTTCACTAATACTCAAGCGTAATTTTTTTTTTTTTTTTTTTTTTTTTTTTGAGCAGTCTCGCCCTGTTGCCCAGGCTAGAGTGCAGTGGTGCAACCTTGGCTCACTGCAACCTCTGCCTCCCAAGTTCAAGCGATTGTCATGCCTCAGCCTCCTAAGTGGCCGGAATTACAGGCATGTGCCACCATGCCCAGTTAATTTTTGTATTTTTAGTAGAGATGGGGTTTCGCCATGTTGACCAGGCTGATCTCAAACTCTTGAGCTCAAGTGATCCGCCTGCCTCAGCATCCCAATGTGCTCATATTACAAGTGTGAGCCACCACGTCTGGCCTAAGCATAACTTTTTAATACAGGAATTCAAGTTGGTTTTAATAACTCAGAAATGTTGATTCTGAATGATTTTTTGAGGCTAGTGTCCTTGGAGGAGTGATCTGGAGTCATTAAATCTGTATTTTTGATAGTCGTCAAGTCTGTATGTTTCCACATCTAGGATTTTATAATAAAACACAAGTTCTTTGTGAAAAGGTCAATCTGTAAGGCTCCTAGGTGCTGATGGTATAATACATGATGAGAGATAGAAAAAGCTGAGAAAGGGCAGGTGGTTTCCATTAGGAGGTGGGGTTTACTGACCTCCTGCCCACTGGGCTGTAAGCTTGCAGACAGTGAAATCTGCATCCTCTTTTCCCCCACACTGACCCTAGCAACTGTGTAACACCAGAATGGATAGTTACTGGTTGCCTTCAATCATCCCTCCCCTTCCTCCATTAAAGTGACTGGGTATTGATTTTTTGAAGACTTCTTTTTTTTCTTTTAATATTTGTTTATTAAACATTCCAGCAATGAAAATACATATTTAAAATGTTTTTAAATAGGTGATACATTCACAATGGTAAAAGCAAAAATATAAAACGGCGTATTGTGAAAAGCTTTTTTTCCTCCCCTGTCCCTCGTTTACCTACATATTTTTGGAAGATTTCTTTTTTTTTTTTTTTTTTTTTTTTTTTTTGAGATGGAGTCTCGCTCTGTCGCCCAGGCTGGAGTGCAGTAGCTTGGTCTTGGCTCACTGCAACCTCTGCCTCCCGGGTTCACGCCATTCTGCCTCAGCCTCTCAAGTAGCTGGGAATACAGGCGTCCACCACCACGCCCGGCTAATTTTTTGTATTTTTAGTAGAGATGGGGTTTCACCGTGTTAGCCAGGATGGTCTCCATCTCCTGACCTCGTGATCCTCCTGCCTCGGCCTCCCAGAGTGCTGGGATTACAGGCGTGAGCCACCGTGCCCGGTCTTGGAAGATTTCTTATCTTGAAAATGCACATGGAGCAGAAGCTGATGTTTGTAATTAGAGCCAATTTTTTTTTTACCAGCCAAAAGTTGTGTTTAATGAGAGATAATTACTTTTTGTGAAAAGGTAATCCTAATACAGTTTTCAAGGTGCCCGGGGTATGCCTGAAAGCCTTTGAAAGGCTATAAATAATACCATTCATGCTATGTAGTTCAACATCCCAAGTTCACGTATGTGCTACATAGTTGACTACCAACTGATTTAAACCTGACTGATTGATTGTGGTAAAGTGTTATAACAGTGATGTTATAGATGATTATTTGCATGCTGAAAAAATACTTCTAGTAACATTGCTAAAAGTATCTTTCTCCCAAACTAGTTACAAATAAACTAATAAAGAGAGACAAGTCATAAATCAGGGATTTCATATTGACTAAACTATTCTTAATAAATTTCCTCATGAGAATAGTTCTCAAATTGTGGTTAATGGGCTACTTGTAGCTGCTGGTAGTCTTTTTTTCTGTAGATTTGGCTTATATGATAATATCCGAAGTTTTTGTTTATGGTACAGGTTAATGATGTTTATGTGGTAACTCTAATTTGTCCCACAAAAAGCAAATATTATCATTTAATTCTTCTGGATGGTTTTGCAGAGACAAATAGGAATGGATAGGTTTGATGATGTGTATTGAAAGTTGGACTCAGTTTATGTATTATATGTATCATTACTCTAAACCTCAGTTTCTTATTTTCTTCCTTTGTGAGGACAAGGGCAGAAGGAATAGTGATTAAACAAATAATATTACATTAGCCAGGTCCTAGACTGAGCAAGGCAAAAACTTGCAAATTTGCAGAGCCAAGAATATTGAAATGGAAATTTAGTTACGTATCAATAACTTTAACTTTTTTGGTGTGCATAGTAATTGGTAAGAAATATGGTTGTCTTATGGTAGGTATTTTTATATTCACTTCTAATTAATAAAAGGCTCTTATAAGATACAAAAGAGAGATCAAAGGATTGTTACCAGTTCATCAACAAAATGAATTTTATTATTCATTCTAAGTCTTTGAAACTATGGGTTTTAGTCTCCAGACCAAAAGTATTAGATTTTTTTGTATCCTTCATGCCATTATTATTTATAACTGGATTTCTCTTATCTTTCAAAGACTGAACTTCGGTCATTGATTTTCTAAGAGTTTTATCAAATGTCATCATTTATGATTACTTTAGGGAAGTTTTATTTTACTCAAGACTTATAAGGGGAGCATATTACTTCCAACAACAGTGGTATGAAAAGTTTTAAAAGAAATCTAGTTTGTGTTTAAAGGGTAAAAGTCTTAAACACCTGAAAAGAATGCTATTAAGCAGCTGTAAAATGTATCTCTGTGTTGAGTATAATGCCATTCACATAAAATTATTTCTATCCACCTAGCTATCCCCTTTTGGTGTATATGCATGGAGATATGTTTGCATTGGTGTTTACCATTGTTGATATTATCTCTGTGGAGTAAGATTTGGAGAGTAGTTTTGTTTTTGTTTTTGGTAGCTATCGGAATTGTAATTTGTTTATACCTATTTGCTTGTGTTTAAAGTTGTCTCATTATACTTTTTTTTTTTCCAGACTGTACTTGTTTAACTTCAGATAAGTAAAGGAGAAAATATTTTATATATTTTTTCAGTGATTATTTTTTAGAAGCATGGCACTAGGTTGTTGAAGCTAATGCTTAAAAAGTGAAAACTCCCCACGCCTGCGCCAGTATAACATCTTTAATCAGTCTGTTTTATTCCACATAACCCGTCTCCATTGACCTCAGTGTGCTGTTTTTATTTAATAGGGCTTACAGAATCATTTGAAGAAGTATGGTGGGAAATACAATCAGATTTTGGCGTTTCGACCTACAGGATGGACACACTCTAACAAGTTCCCTAGAATAGCAGATATTATTCCCCAGACCAAAGGAAACATTTCAATATATGGTATAGTTGTTAAATTTTCTAACTTTTAATGTTTATGATTACTTTACATTTTTAAAAATGTTGTAAAGTTCAAATCCAACAAAAACAGACACCAAAGAATTTAATAATTCAAGAGTTTTCAAATCTCTCTACAACTCTAATCCTGTATCTAGTCCATTGTAAACTGATATAAAGGAGCTTGACTAGTAGATAGACATTAACAAATACAGATCATTTCACTTCGTGATCAGTGATATTGAGAAGAAATTGCAGAATTACTTGAAAGGACTACTGTGGTTACATACTGGAAGTATAGATGACAGTGTGAGATTGGGAGCAGGAAGGTGATGGGTTAGATGTGGTGACAGCAGGAGATACAGGCTTGCCTGTTTTCATCCTTGGAGGAGGTTTACCACTGCCTTCAGAGTTGGCTTATTGCAGTGACAGCTGATGGAAACATGTTTGGTGTGTCACCAGACCAGTGATTTACCCTAAGCCTCTAAAGACCCTAGCATACTGAAAATAGGACCCTTTTCACCTTTCTTTGTGGTACTTGATCTTCAATAAAGAAGATAAAGTGTGTGTGTGGGGGGGGGGGGTTCATATTTTTTTTTTTATGTGTGCAAAGCTTGGGTACAAATCCACTTACCTGCTCTGGAAGTGAGAGTCTCCTGCTTGTTATTCTTCACATTTGACTCATATTTCTTCCATATTTTCCTGAAACCTGTAGCTAAGTGAAGTGTCTAAAGGAAGAATTGTTTAAAAAGAAGAAAATCCTAATTAAATAGGACTCTCTAGAAATGATGTTATTAAATATACACACAAAAAAGTAATAGATTTTTGAATGTTCTAAGTTTCATATCTGTATTAGTCCATTCTCACACTGCTTTAAAGAACTATCTGAAACTGGGTAATTTATGAAGAATAGAGGTTTAATTGACTCACAGTTCCACAGGCTTAACAGGAAGCATGACTGGGAGGGCTCAGGAAACTTAAAATCATGACAGAAGGCAAAGGGCAAGCAAGCATGTCTTACCTTAGTGGAGCAGGAGAGAGAGAGAGAGTGCGCAAACGGGGAAATGCCACACACTTTCAAACCATCCGATCTCCTGAGAACTCACTCACTATCTTCTTCTGATTATTATTATTTTATTTATTTATTTTTTTATTTTTTTTGAGACAAGAACTTTGCTGTGTCGCCAGGCTGGAGTGCAGTGGCATAAGCTTGGCTCACTGCAACCTCCATCTACCCGGTTCAAGCAATTCTTCTGCCTCAGTCTCTCGAGTAGCTGGGATTACAGGCATGAGCCACCATGCCTGGCTAATTTTTGTATTTTTAGTGGCGGTGGGGTTTCACCATGTTAGCCAGGCTGGCCTCGAACTCCTCACCTCAGGTAATCTGCCCGCCTTGGCCTCCCAAAGTGCTGGGATTACAGGCGTGAGCCACCATGCCTGACCAAGAACTCACTCACTATCAGAAGAACAACAAGGGGCAGATCCACCCCCATGATCCAGTCGCCTCCAACCAGGCCCTTCACCCAGTACATAGGGATTACAATTTGAGATGAGATTTGGGTGGGGACACAGAGCCAAACCATATCGACATCATTTTAATGTCTTAATCTTTATTATTCATAAAAGATATCAACAGGTTTTCTTATCAAAACTAAAGCACCAAGGAGTTTTTGACAAAAATACTGTGGATTGCTTTTCTCTTTTGTTTTATTCTATTTTAGGATTGTGAATTTTTAAATTAATTTGATTTTAGTGTACAACTTCGTTTCTTTGGTGTTACAGGAATTCCTTACAGTGAACACAGCAGCTACCTAGAAATGAAGCGCTTTGTCCAGTGGCTGAAGCCCCAGAAAATCATACCTACCGTAAATGTTGGCACCTGGAAATCTAGGAACACAATGGAGAAATATTTTAGAGAGTGGAAATTGGAAGCTGGATATTGATGATACCTCCAAGTATTCAGTAGTAGTTGTAGCTTGGATGTAGCTTGTTAGTACTTAAATCTATAGAGATATGAACTGCACTTTGTGTGGAAAAACCTCAGTAAGATTATTCAGATAGTTTACTTTCTCATTTATGTTTGAACAACATGTTATGGTGCTGAATGCCTCTCAGTGTCATCAAGGATAACTGAAACTGGGTCTCCCTGGGACCCTTAATTTCTTGTCCCCCTGCCCTTCGTGGGCAGTTATATTCTGCATCAAGCCTTGGAAGAGGAAGCAGAGGCAGATTCAGAGACCAGGGATTAATGATAATTAATAAACTAGATGGAAGTATTATATAAGTAATTATGTATCTTTAAAATTATGAGATGAAACTTTTATATGACATGCATACCTAAATAAAATTAATATAAAATTTGTTCTAGTGTCTTTTGGTTTTTTTGTTTTGTTTTTAGTAGACTTTATTATTTCTTTATCTATTTATTTTTGAGATGGAGCCTTGCACTGTCACCTGGGCTATAGTGCAGTGGCTCACTGCAGCCTCCACCTCCCGGGTTCAGGTGGGTCTCCTGCCTCTGCCTCCCGAATAGCTGGTATTATAGGTGTCCGCCACCATGCCTGGCTAATTTTTTTTTTTTTTTTTGAGACGGAGTGTCTGTCGCCCAGGCTAGAGTGCAGTGGTGCAATCTCGGCTCACTGCAAACTCTGCCTCCCAAGTTCACCCCATTCTCCAGCCTCAGCCTCCCGAGTAACTGGGACTACAGGTGCCCGCCACCACGCCTGGCTTATTTTTTGCATTTTTAGTAGAGACGAGGTTTCACTGTGTTAGCCAGGGTGGTCTTGATCTCCTGACTTTGTGATCCGCCTGCCTCAGCCTCCCAAAGTGCTGGGATTACAGGCGTGAGCCACTGTGCCCAGCCCAAGACTTTATTTTTTAGAGCAGTTTTAGGTTCACAGCAAAGTTGAGTAGAAGGTACAGAGATTTCCCTTATACTTAACTACCACCCCCACGTGTTTAGCTCCCCCATGATCAACATTGCTCACCTGAATGGTACATTTTTCACAATAGATGAACCTACGTTGACACATCATCGTCACTCAAAGTCCACAATTTACATTAGGGTCACTCTTGGTGGTGTACATTCCTTGGTTAGTATAATGTATAATGACACATCCCCCATTGTAATATCCTGCAAAAATTTTGCTATCCCAAAAACCCTTGTTCTCTGCTTATTCATACTTCCATCCCCCAAAACCCCTGGCAAGCAGTTACCTTTTTGCTGTCTCTATAGTTTTGCTTTTTCCAAAATGTCATGTAGTTGGAATCAGACACTAGGTATCCTTTTCAGATTGGTTTTTTCACTTTGTAATACACATTTAAGGGTCTTCCACGTCTTTTTGTGGCTTGATAGCTCATTTCTTTTTAGCGCTGAGTACTATTCCTTTGTATGGATGTATCTCAGTTTGTTTATCCATCACCTACCGAAGGAAATCCTGATTGCTTCCAAGTTTTGGCAATGAGGAATAAAGCTGCTATAAACATTCTGATCCAGGTTTTTCTGTGGGCTAAGTTTTCAACACCTTGGGTGAATATCATACTACCCAGCAACCTCAATCCTTGATAAGAGTATGTTTGGTTTTATAAGAAGGCGCCAAACTGTCTTCCAAAGTGGCTATACAATTCTGTATTCCCACTCGCAACTAATGAGCGTTCTGTTGCTCCACATCTTCACTAGCACTTGGTGTCAGTTTCCTGGATTTTGGTCATTCTCTTAGGTGCATAGCGATATCTCCTTTTTGTTTTCATTTGCATTTCCCTAGTGACATATGATATGGAACATCTTTTCATATGCTTATTTGCCATCTATATATCTTCTCTGATGAAGTGTCTTCAGATCTTTGGCTCATTTTTTAATCATTTTCTTATTGTTGAGGGTTTTTTAATTTGTATTTTATTTTTTCTTATTTAAAAAAATTACAGTACTTTGAGTTGCTGTTTTATGTTTTTTGTTTTGTTTTTTTAAGAGATGGGGTCTCACTAGGTTGCCCGTGCAGGAGTACAGTGGCTATTCACAGGTACCATTATAGCACAGTACAGCCTCAAACTCCTAGCCTCAAGCTGTCCTCTTGCCTCAGCCTCTGGAGTAGCTAGGACTCCTGGAGCATGCCACTGTACCTGGTTATTGTTGAGTTTTGAGAGTTATTTGTATATTTTGGATAACAGTCCTTTATCAGATACATCTTTTGCAAATATTTTCTCCCAATGTGGGTCTTGTCTACTAATTCTCTTGGCAGTGTACAATGTCTTTTTTTTTTTTAGACTGAGTTTCCCTCTTTGACCCAGGCTGGAGTAAAGTGGCATGATCTCAGCTCACTGCAACCTCTGCCTCCCGGGTTCAAGTGATTCTTCTGCCTCAGCCTCCCAAGTAGCTGGAATTATAGGCGCCCACCAACACGCCCAGCTAATTTTTGTATTTTTAGTAGAGATGGGTTTTCGCCATGTTGGACAGGCTGGTCTCAAACTCCTGACCTCAGGCGATCCTCCTGCCTCGGCCTCCAAAAGTGCTAGAGTTACAGGCATGAGCCACCGTGCCTGGCCTACAGTGTACAATGTCTTTTGCAGAGCAGAAGTTTTTAATTTTAATGAAGTCTGTCTTATCGATTATTCCTTTCATGGATCATGCCTTTGGTGTTGTATTTAAAAATTCATCTCCATACCCAAAGTCGTCTAGATTTTCTTTTATAATGTCTCCTAGGAGTTTTATTGTTTTGTGTTATACACTTAGATCTGTGATCCATTCTGAGTTATAGTGTAAGGTCTGTTTCTAAATTTATTGTTTGGCATGTGGATGTCCAGTTGTTCCAACACCATTTGTTGAAAAGACTATCTTTTCTCCATTGCATTGCTTTTGTTCCTTTGACAAAGATCAGCTAACTATATTTATGTGGGTCTATTTCTGGACTCTTTAGTCTGTTCCATTGATTTATTTGTTATTTCACCAATACCACACTCTCTTGATTACTGTAGCTTTATTGTAAGTCTTAAGTCAGGTAGTGTCAGTTCTCTTTTTTCTCCTTCAGTATTATATTCACTTTTCTTGGTCTTTTGCTTCTCCATATAAACTTTAGAATCAGTTTGTCAATATCCTCAAAATAACTTGATGGGAGTTTGATTAAGATTGTACTGAATCTATAGATCAAGTTGGGAAGAACTGACATCTTAACAATATTGAGTCTTCCTACCTATAAACATGGAATGTTTCCGTTTATTTAGTTCTTCTTTGATTTATTTCATCAGAGTTTTGTAGTTTTCCTAATACAGATCTTGTATACATTTCGCTAGATTTATACCTAAGTATTTCATTTCTTTTCTGCTAATGTAAATTGTATCGTGTTTTAAATTTCAAATTGCACTTCTTCATTGCTGGTATGTAGGAAAGCAACTGGCTTCTGTATATTAACTTGTATTCTTCAACCTTTGTATAATCTTGATTTCTTATGTAGACAGTTATGTCATTTGTGAACAAAGATGGTTTTATTTCTTCGTTCTCAATCTGTATACCTTTTACTTCCTTTTCTTGACATTGCATTAGCTAAGACTTCCAGTATAATATTGAAAAAGAGGGATGAGAGGGGACATCTTTGCCTTATTCCTAATATTAGTGGGGAAGCTGCTAGTTTCTCACCATGAAATATGATGTTAGCTTTAGGGCTGTTTTTAGATATTCTTTATTAAGTTGAGGACGTTACCCTCTATTCCTAGTTTACTGAAAGGTTTTATCTTGAATGGGTGCTGGATTTTGTAAAATGCTTTTTTTTTGCATCTATGATCTTGTGACTTTTCTTCAGTCTTTTGTTGTGATACATTATGTTATTTGATTTCAAACGAGCTTCGCATACCTAGGATAAATCCCACTTGATTATGATTTATAACTCTTTACACATTGTTGGATTTGCTGTAATATTTTGTTAAGGGTTTTTGTATCTATGTTCGTAAGAGATATTGGTTTATAGTTTTCTTATAATCACTTTGTCCAATTTTGGTAATAGGGTAATGCTGGTCTTTTAGGATGAATTAGGAAGTATTCCTCTGCTTCTATCTTCTGAAAGAGATTGTGAAGAATTTGTGTAATTTCTTCCTTAAATGTTTAGTAGAACTCACCAGTGAACTGATGTGAGCCTGGGACTTTATGTTTTGGAAGGTTGTTCATTATTAATTGAATTTCTTTAATTGATATGGGCCTATTCAGATTGTCTATTTCCTCTTGTGTGAGTTTTGACAGGTTATGTCTTTTAAAGAATTGGCTCATTTCCTTGAGGTTATCGTTTGTTTTGTTTTTGGATTTTAGGATTTATAGCTGTGACATTCATGAAATTTTATAGAATCTCAGTGAAAATAATTCAACTTGTGGTTTTGAACAAGACAATTCAAAAAGCTTAGATAATCACCCAATAGAGAAGGCAGAAAAGTTTGCATGTTTATCTGAACTATTCCACTTAAGACACCAGATAACTAAAAGTTTAAGTTGCAGTGTTTCATATAAAGTGAGATTATGTAATCTATTTATGTATCCTAATCTCTTCAACATAGATTGAATAGTTGATCCAAAGTGAAAATTTGGGACCAATGCATATTAAAGATCTTTTTATATAGTCTAAATAAGACAACAGCTAGTAAAATGAATGTATGCATGTGTGTATTTGTGTATTCTTACATTCGCTCTAGCAATGAAATTAAGGACTTTAATGTTTTCATAGAAATAATCATGGAAATTTTTCAATAAAAATCAGAAGGATAGTATTCTCCATGAACTTTATTTCATGGGTTTGGATTTTACTTTGTAGAGGTAAGAGTTATGGGGGATCACATTTAGAAGAACAAAAGCATTTGGGGGGACACAGTGGTAGTGTTTATGTTCTCAGTTAACTTCAATTACAAATTTAAAATATTTTAGCTTGTTTTGAGGTTTTAAACTTTTTGTAAGCTATTAAGAGTTATCATTAGAAAAACTTTATATTGTCTGTGATTATAGACATTCTTAACATAGGGGAGATAGTCAAGTCATCTGGGGTTATTTTTATTTATTAATTGAATGATTTTTCCCATTAGAATTGTCATTTTTCATTGGTAAAAAGATTTTTTATTTAAATGTTTTTGAAAATTCAAGCATGTTATTTTAAGAGCAGCCTCAGCCTTTTTATTATTCTGTGCAAAAACATCTTTCTACATGAACTTCATCATTTGTGGCAGCTTGGAATAGTGTCCCGCTATTGCTAGAAATGTAAAACCTCATTTAAGGGAGATACCAAATAGGATTATAAATAAGTCACAACCACAACTAAACTTTTCTAGGTTCTATTGACAGCACATATTGAAATTCTTAGTTCTGATACAACATTTTGGTAGGTAAAAATTTTC